TTCGCTAATTAGGTGTAACGTGTACACTGCACTCAACTAATTAAGTATACCCAGACAAAATTCTGTGTATTCGCATGAAATGGAACCTATGTTTTTTCCCTTACTGTTTAGGCAGTCACCAGTTGTACTTTATGAGAAAAGATGATTACGAACCCTTTTAGTACAGGGTTGTTAATCAATCATTGGGTAATGTATGTGAGAAGCCACACCTACGATGGATGGGTCGATTAATAGGTCTTTAATTGAATCGCACCTTATGCAATTCGTCAATTCGAGCGTATTCGTCAATATGCTCTCCACAAACTAGAACAGTTAACAGCCCTCGAGCAAGTGGACGTTCAAGTATGCATGTTCCCACCATAAAGTTTGTATAGCGAAGTTGTATGTACGTAAACTTGAAGGTATCTAGTTAAGTATTGTTATAGGTTACCTAAATGTTATTACGACAATTTATCTAATAATTTGATTAAATAATAGGGACTTAAGTAGCATTCCCTCGATTAACAAATTTTTAATTGAAACAAAATTAAATTGTAATACTAAAAATGCAATAAAATTTTTTAGCTTAAATAATTAAAGCGGTCACCTCGTTGAAAAGCTGAGTAATTACTTAGTCGCTGTAGCATCGGATAAAATTTATAAACAGGGTCTCACCAAAATTCTTCACTACAAATAATATAATCCTAAAAGGCAGGAAAAAAGCTTCTACGGGACATAATACCCAGAAATTAATTACCAAAACGTTACAAAAGAATTTTTGCGAAGACAGTTCAAAGGGAAAAAAAGAAAAAGCTAGCGCCGACCGACGACGTGCTATACAAAAATGAGAATTAAAAAGGTGTGCGATGGTAGGCAGAGGTTACATTTACGTAATTAACATCAAAGCGGCCTGTCTGGCAGCATTTTTAACCTGTCGCGTCGACTCTTTTGATTATATGCCATAAAATCAACGGCAACTACCAAAACGAACACTCTATGAAACCGTTTTAATTGCAAGATGAGAGATTTTGGCTTTAGATTACCCGAGATTTTAACCGGGATCAAATGTCACGTCTACCGCGTCCCTTTTGGATTTTAATTTGTGGCAACGGAAAGTCGCCAGAAACTCGTCGGATCACAGGGAATTAAATATGAGAATCTTAGTGCTTTGGAATTGAAGACGACAACTGAGGCAGTTCGCAACGATACGGTTTGTATATTAATGCATTTCGGCTAAAGGTTTAGTTATTCGTTGTATTTGTTTTTTGGTAAAAGTTATACATTTAACAATAAGTATAAATATGTTATTCAAAAACGTCTAGACTAAAAGTTATAAAACCACTTTAATACGATTTACGCGAGGGAAAACTGTCGGCATAAGAATTTCTACGAGACGTGCATACCGGCTATAGACTAACCGTCGCCTTATCGTCGTATATTACCCTAGGGAACATATCCCTACTCTTTCTTCCAGCCTCTAAATTTTCCAACCACACCATCCATCTTAAAGAAAAATGTTTTTTTTTTCTTCTCATCTGACTCATAAAGATTACATGGATATAGGTACTACATTAAAAATTATATTTAGTTTTGAACAGTTCTTTTATGCATACATTTTTTTATAAGAGATATATTTTAAGGTTGAAAACAAATTTTGACCTAAATTTATTTTGCAGTATCATGTTTTTAAAAGTATTACTTTAAAACCAAATCCCATACATAGTTTCACGGTTTGTGAACCTATTTTGTAATCGATTCTTGTGATGCACACATTTTGTTAGCAATCCAATTTCAATTCAATCATTTAAATGGACTCGTTAATGTAAAAAGTTAATTATTGCGTTCCAAAAATTGTATAAATTCGCATCATTAACTCTAAATAAAGTAGTTTTCACATAGTTTATTAAAACCTAATCCAGGAACTGTTGCCTTTAAATTAAAGTTTTTACCAAACTTTAGTATAGTATAATTTTGTAAAGATTTTATATTCTGTAAACTTAAAACACTTCCAAACCACATTGCATAAATATTTGCAGAGACTTACTCACGATTTTTAAATAGGATTGCAAACTAATACCAGGAAAATATTGTTGCAAAATCGTTGTCGCAAACACAATATTCGTGTATTTAAAGTTGGTGTTCAGAATTTTTCAAAAGGAATTTAAAGTTTTCGAACACGCATTTGTACAGTTCCCAGCAGATCGTAGCAACGCTCGAAAGTTTCTTTTCGGTCAATTTGAATGCGCCCGAACAAACTCCCGGGTCGAACTCGTTAATGAATGCTATCAGCTTACACCTCCGAGTCAATATTTTTACGTAATACGGAAGCAAACTCGTTCGTTTTCCACTTACGCCACGATAACTAAACGATCACTTTTGAAACTCGATATTATAGGTGGTAAACATCCGCTCTGAGTTGATCAAACACCAATATCGATTTCATAATGTTTAGGTATTAACAATAATACACTACTGAATTTATTAAATTAAATATATGACTAATATCAAATAATTATTATCATCGAAATCTATACCAATAAAATAAAATAGTAGAAAATATTGTAGTATTGTTCTAGTTGTAATCCAAGGAATATATGCATCCCTTTGTAAAGCAGCGTAAAAAATTCTTGGCTCCACTTCACAACAGACTAAACGTCGACACCCTTTGATACGAACTTCGACCTTCAGAGGTAGAAGATGATAATCGCCTACAATCTTTTAATTATAATACTCCATCTTTGGTAATAAGGGAGATATTCGTGTTTGTCGTTTTCGCAATTTTTTCAGTTTTTGCCGATTGGGCGAAAACAAAAGAGGATAGTTGTTCAAAATTTTCGGCATTAGCAGTTTGTTGAAAAACAAGATCATGACATCTATGCTGCTTTTTTTCTATCTCTTTTAGTTTCGAAGGTACCCTATGCGGACAACTAATTTGGGACAATATCTAAAAATTATTTTATTATATAGGAGGATTTAGTTTCTGCTATTTTAATGCAGTGTATTGTTGAATTTTGATACAGTATCGGTAGTAGTTGTTAAACAGGTTTGAAAGAAAGTTCTTAAGGCCAAAATATGATACAAACCTGCGGATGGAGACAATTAATGAACTACGAGATGAAAAAACTGCAGGAAAGACCAGAACTATCAATGCGGATTAAAGCCTAGAGGCTGAGGTAGGTGGGATACGTGTGGAGAATACCGACAGAGAGAATGGTGCGTGGGGAACTCGCTCAAACACCGATGGACGGACAATGTTATGGAGGATTTGAGCGCTCTGCATTGTGAGCAGCACCCATTGTGAGCTCCATGGCTCACAATGGGTTATAGTGCAATAGTGTGTGTGTTTGTATCAGTAGTATTCATGGATACTTATGTGAATCGGAATGAATTAGATGCGGCTCTGGAAGACTTTATGAATGAGTTAGGTCGATAATGATATAACTATTACCTGCGACCGATACATTTGTCAACTCTTGCGGCAATTTATCTTGTATCTACAGAGATAGTTGGTAAAGGCAGAAATTTGGAATACAAAATAAATATTTTTAGATGGTGTTAATATCACTGGAAATAGACGTGAATCGTTGCAAGTTGTTTACTTGGCTCACTCAAGTTCAATATCAGTGTTAGCAGAGATGCATAAACAATAATTCAGGATACTGATCTTCGTTAAAGCTCTATCATGTTATTTTATCAAATATGCTTAAGAAATCTTAGTTGTGAAATATTAAATTGTTGAGCTACTTGTTGGCCAGGTTGCTCTTAGTCTACTGAAACCTTGTTAGATAATCCACTGTACATCTGTAACTGTTGATCTAGGTCTGGGCAGTAAATGTTAAGGCATTTTTTTCTCCTCACTCCATAATAGTTTCTGTACTTCGAAATTCTTTGATTTGTTAACGATGTGATATGTTGCAAAAATACAACAAGCTTTGTCATCCGGAATATCAAATAATTCCTTAATAGTAGAAGTTATATGATTCACAAGCACAAATATTAATAAATTCATCAGAAAAAGGCAAACTGATTATTATAATAATGGTTTATAATTTGTATAAAAAACATATTGTAATTAAACTGTCTAAATTTGATAAATAACGTTGTTAATGGTAAATCAGATACAACAAAGAAACAGTATTGTAATTATTTAAGAAAAAAATTAAACAACTTTTCTTTTTCAGGTATGGAATATATCCCCTCTTTTTCGTTCAGTGGTCGGTCTGCTCGCGAAGGGGATTATATGTTCTCTCCGCCGTTTGCTCGGATAAATTATAACTTCGCTTAACCACAAATTCGATTCGTCGCGCTGGCCTGCAACATGAACTTAATGAAAAAATCATTATATTCGGTAGTCTTTTTATAGCTACATTCATAAATACAAGTATTGGTGGTTGTCAACTCCATTGCTTATGAGAAGTTATTAACTGAATTAAGTGCGTTAATTATTTTTAAAAAAAATTACCATTTACAGTTTAATTAAGTAAATCACTTCAAGATTACCATATATTTTTGTTATTACATTATAAGTTGTTTAAGTGTATACTTAAATGCACGTGTTTGTCACTTCCCGTTATAATAACGTTTCGTGTTATGACTTCGTTATGATAACCGTCCTTGTATTTCAATGAGTACCTCAATTAAAATCTGTTCCACTTTGATAAATAATATTGTTGTTAACGTAAATTTTTATATCTTCATTTGGGGCCCCCTCAAAGCATTATTAGTAGTAATGACGATCTTAAACACTTAAACTGTCTTTTTAAGTGAAAGGCCGAAGTGCAGCACGTGGAAATGTAACAATCAAACTACATCCTAAATTATTAACCCATTATCATGAATTTATTTTTCAATAATTTAAATTAACGAGATAAAACAATATTTATTGTTAAATGATATCGTTTCTGAAAACTAACGTTTGGGTCAAGGTTAAAGAATTACATGAGTCAACAGTAAAAGCTAGATCTCATTGTGCTAAACAAAAACTCACACAATGTAAATGAGAGTCATTTAATGCAAAATGACTAACATCATTAGTAAATAGGTAGATAAAATGAAGCGAAGTGTAGTTGGACTCTGTATATAAATAAATTCTGATTAGCCGTTGTATTCAGTTGTGGCACGAACAAGAAACGGAGTATATCTCTAAAATGTTTCAATACTTATTGGCTTTAATTTTGGGTTTGGTTGCATGGAGTCTTATTGGATATATTAAATGGAGAATTGACGTGTACAATAAAATTGAAAAAATTAGAGGTCCTAAACGATATCCTTTCGTGGGAACGTTACATATTTTTCATGGCGCGTCTCGAACTGGTAAATAATTTATTACTTTTGGTGCTGAAATTATTTTAACAGGATTACTTTTTAATAAAATATGATATCTGACGTAAAATTTACATTCATACAAATTTGTTTGTAGATATTTATAGAATTATGATGGAAACAATTGATAAATATGGCCCATTTTTTCGAACATGGAAAATGTGGACTCCAGAAGTTCATGTTATGAAACCTGAACATCTTGAGGTAACTAATTAAGAACGATTTATATTAAAAGGCTTTAGTTACGTTAATATCTTTGATAATTCTACAGAATACGATAAATATTCTTATTTATCTTTCTAACCTTATTATCTCTTCTAAATATACAAAATTATTGTTGATATAATTACAACGTTTATTTTTCGATGATAATTATGACTTGCATAATAAATTTGTTAGAACAAAAATTATTTTAGAATTCAAATTTAGGTAATAAAATTACTTGCATAAAATGCATAGATTGTATTAAATTTTAGCAAATTATGGGTAGTTCTGTTCTATTAAAAAAAGCATCCGGATATAAATATCTTAGTTCATGGTTAGGAGATGGATTATTGTTAAGTGATGGTAAAAAATGGCATCAAAGAAGAAAAATGATAACCCCTACATTCCATTTTAAAATATTAGACACATTTATGAAAGTTTTTGAAGAAAAAAGCGAACTTCTCATAAAATATCTAGAAGAGCGTTGTGATGGGCAAGCTTTCGATATGTACCCATACATAAATCATTGTGCTTTAGATATAATATGTGGCAAGTATTCATTTTAATCACCAATTTATTTTTTTTAATTTCTTACATTTAGAAACTGCTATGGGAGTGTCAACAAATGCAATGTCAGATAGAAATAGTAGTTACACTCAAGCTATTTACAAGTAAATTCATTATCATGTTTTAAAAATATTTAATTTATCGAAATATTTTTAGCATAACAATTTTATTAAACAAACGATTTTTGACTCCGTTACATCAAACTAAACTTTATCCATATCTACCCGAAGGAAAGCAATTCGAGCACAATTTAAAAATTATGCACGACTTTACTAATAAAATCATTTCTGAAAGAAGGAATCTGCTCAAGTCATTACCACAAAGGAAAGGAAGCATCGACGATGTTTTAATGTCTCAAAAGAAACGCCTCTCATTTCTTGACCTCTTGTTGGATGCTTCTGATAAACTCACGGATGCTGATATAAGAGAGGAAGTTGACACTTTTATGTTTGAAGGTCATGATACAACAACAGCTGCTGTTTCTTGGTGTTTGTTATTATTAGCTAATCATCCAGATATACAAGTATATTTAACGATACAAATTAAGTTATTTATTACTTTTTTTTTGATTAATTAAAGGAAAAAGTGTACCAAGAACTTAAATCTGTTCTTCAAGGCAAAACAGCACCAGCATCAATTTCCGATTTAAATAAATTAAGTTATTTAGAATGTTGTGTGAAAGAAGCTTTACGATTATATCCAAGTGTACCTGTTATTGGAAGAAAATTAACTGAAGATGTTGTTATAGGTTTAAAAAAAATGTTATTGCTAGTAAAAAAATATAATTGTAATTGTTTGTAGATGGTTACGAGATTCCAAAAGAAACTGACGCCAACTTACATATTTATAAAGTACACAGAAACCCGGATATTTACCCAAATCCGGATAAGTTCGATCCGGATAGATTTTTACCGGAAAATTCGTCAAAAAGGCATCCGTACGCTTACGTTCCTTTCAGTGCTGGACCGAGAAATTGCATAGGACAAAAATTTGCTATTTATGAAGAAAAAACAATGATAGCATCAATCATAAATGCTTACAAAGTTTTACCAGTCGATTCGTTAGATTCTCTCACACTTGTATTTGAAGTCATTTTAAGACCAATTAATGGTATAAACCTAAAACTTCAAAAACGTGTTAATTAATGTTCACAAAATATCAAATTACAAATGATATAAGATATACGATTGCTTTAAAATATCTTTGGAAGTTGGAGAAATATAAATTTTACGATTATAAATAAAGATTTATTTAATTAATTATGTCATTAATTCAGTTAACCAGTATGGGTGCTTACCAACATCAATACTATCGAACAACACGTAGAGGCTACCCAAGTAATTTGCAGCCACAACATGTCCTCTCCTTCATGTGGCAACGAATGTCATAATGGCAACAAAAACCGTTTTAAGTAATAGATGAGGACTCTGCACATTTATTTGATTTATTATTATATGTAGTAAGATTTTATAGTATTCACTTAATTTCATCATTAGGATAACGTCGAACATTTATGCCTAAATAACCCGGCTTGTTGAAACTGTATCTGATTCAAAAGACTTCAAACAGATTTTTCAATGCATTTAGTTCGGGAAAGAGAAGCTCAATTAAGTAAGTTCCCGCTATATCGTACCATACATTTAACTTTCGTAGCCTTTGAGTACGGTTTTTAAGCATTCAGTGGGGATTTACATCATTCCAATAGCCTACATTATGACGATTTATAATCCCACATCATGTAAAGGTTGCAGCGTTTTTTAAACGTATCTTGTTATCGAAAGTTCGTCAATTGCAATTTGCACTCAGTAAATCCTAATCTGCGATCGAGGATATCTTCAGTTAACTTTTGTATTATCGTTTTAAATGGATGAAAGTAATGTTTAGTTATGCAACAAAGATGCAACGATATTGATCCCTAAATTGAGAGACCTTGAATTTTGATACGGATAAACGTCCAACAGAGCCGGATCTTGTTTCATATTTATTATTAGTTTTGAAATAGTTTTATGAACAGCTTTGTATTAAAAAAATTTATATATGTAATAGCAAAGTTTTAACTCAACTCTCGTAGTGCATTTCTAGTACGAATACGAACTCTTATTTTCAAAAAAATTAAAAAGTAACTCTATTTAACCACAATTATTTAGCATAAATATTCAACTCATAAAAAAATTGATACTGCCAACAGAATTTAAATTACTCAACCGAAGGACCTCAACGAACCTTGTTACCATAACTCATAAAACCAATATAACTATTTAAAGACTGCGTAAGTAATTAAGTGATAAAGAGGTTATCGCTATTTTAGTGTAATTGACGACTTGCAGTCGAGACGTTACGTTTGATAGAATCATGTGGCACATTCTATTCGGTTTGAGTATAGTGTTTCTATTTTACTATTTTACCATTTTTATAAAATGGAGAAAAAACATATATAACGATATTGAAAAGATTCCTGGACCGAAAACTTATCCCCTTATTGGAACTTTGTACCATTTTTTCGGAGCGCAACGACATGACATATATCGAATTTTAGCAGAAATAACGGCTAAGTATAAACCGTTTTATCGTATGTGGAACGCTCGCATCCCGGAAATTCATATAATGAAACCTGATCATGTAGAGGTAACAGAAATTTCTAAAACAAAATAATAACATTATAAGGTATTTCGTAACATTTTAGCAAATAATGTCGAGTTCCGTTCAAATTAGGAAAGGATCGCGTTACCGATTCGTAAAAAGATGGTTAGGGGATGGTTTATTATTGAGTGATGGCGCTAAATGGCATCAACGTAGAAAATTAATAACCCCTACTTTCCATTTTAAAATTCTAGAGAACTTTATGGACGTGTTTTCAGAAAATAGTAATATTCTAATTGATCATTTAGAAACGAAATGTGATGGGGTAGGATTTGATGTTTATCCTTACATTACACATTGTACGTTAGATATTATATGTGGTAAGAATTGTTTCTACTAATTATAATTTCTTGTAAACGATTCAATTTTAGAAACAGCAATGGGGGTCTCCATAAATGCTATGACGGACAGAAATAGTAATTACGCTAAAGCAATATACAGGTAATATTCTTAACATTGAATTAAATATATTACATCGAAAAATAAATCAATTTAAAACAAAATTTAAAGCCAAATATAAAAATAAACACATCCGCTTACTGAGACATCCATTTAAAGTTAAATAACTTTACTGGTACTGTCGCTGTAAAAGTAATTTTAGCTCGAGGTTCGAAAACTTCTCTAACAAACTGGTTAGCTGTAAAAAGTCAAACAAACTTTGTTATTTATACACTTTAACCACAAACAAGATAGAAATGTCGCTCACGTTGATAACTCGAAAAAACAGTCATAAAATTTTCATCATCATATTGATGTTTAATATAAAATTATACAATTTTAGAACAACTCAATTGGTTATCAAAAGAATATTCTCAGCTATACAACAAACACCACTATATCCTTTGATGGAAAGCGGAAAAGCCTTTGAAACAAACTTGAAAATTATGCACGACTTCACCGATAAAGTAATCAAAGAAAGAAGAAAATTGTTAAATGAAAATCCATTACCTACTGAAAATACGAATGATGTCGATTTTACGATGAAAAAAAAACGCTTATCTTTCTTAAATCTTTTATTAGATAAATCTTATAATCTTTCCGATGGTGATATTCGTGAGGAAGTGGACACTTTTATGTTTGCAGGACATGACACTACTACAGGTGCTATTTGTTGGAGTTTATTCGTATTCGCAAATAACCCCGACATACAGGAAAAAGTTTATGAAGAAGTTAAAAATGTACTACATGATAAAAAAGTACCTACTGCCATATCTGAATTAAACGAAATGAGATATTTGGAGTGTTGTATTAAAGAAACTTTAAGATTATATCCAAGTGTCCCAAATATTGGGAGAAGCATTGTAGAGGATATAACATTAGGTAACAATAAATAAAAAGGCGATTTTGAATGTTTAAATGAAATAATTTTTATTTTAGATGGATATCGAATTCCAAAAGGATCTGATTGCATCATACACATATTCGACTCTCATAGAAATCCTGAAATATTTCCAAACCCCGAAAAGTTTGACCCGGATAGATTCTTACCTGAGAATAGTATCAAAAGACATCCCTATGCTTATATCCCATTTAGCGCTGGACCTAGAAATTGTATCGGACAAAAATTCGCTATGTACGAAGAAAAAACATTATTAGCTTCCATAATTCGATCGTTTAAAATTCTACCTGTTGATACAATGGATTCAGTAAAATTGAAGTTTGAGTTAATTTTACGACCTGTTGATGGAATGAAAATTCGATTGGAGAAAAGAACTGATTAAATGATATAATAGATGTAATTTTTTAACATTAATAAATCGAATTAATAAATCGTGCATTATTTAAAACCACGTAGTAAATTTTGAACGTCTGTGGTTAGCAGGTTATTGAGGAATTTGTTTGATGTAATGAAAATTTATATCGCGTCACCGCATTGTGGTTGCCATTGTTTTACTTTAATTTTCGTTCAAAATATTAATATTAAAAGCGAGTTCAATTTATGATTTTGCTGAAATGTTTGATGTTTACTTAATGTTGGAATCATATACCGAAACGTAAATATTAACAAAGTAATCTTAAATAGAATTAGCGATTTCTTGTGATGGACACCTATTTTGAACGAAATACATTACATCAAGCAGGTAAGGTTGACCACCTACCTGATCCCAGGGTAAAAAAAGTTCGAAGAACCACCACATCTAGTGGTGGTTATAAAACAGGCTTATATTAAAGTCTAAAGTCTAAACCTAACTATTTAACCTTAGTCGTGCAAAAGAAGAAGAATACTAGTTCAAAATTGTAAAGAGAAGTCTGTTAAACAAACTGCGATGAAATATTGAGATCATGATCGCTCTTATTTTTGCTGCTTTCTAATCTGGACGTAAGCAATAGTCTTGCCACTTCTTGCAATCGTCTCACTTTGGAAAACAAATTTACATGTTTAAGATACGAAGATGTATATTACCTTAAAATCAATTTATTAATATTATGACAATATAAACATTCTTCAGTTAAAAAGATATTGTTGATTTAGAAGAATAATCACAAACCTAACACAATTATTTGTAAAATGCGCGAGCAATTAGGTGATAAAGAGGTTATCGCTATTTTAATAATAGTAAAATGATATTATAATTATCTACGTCTTGCAGTTAATAAGTTACGTTTAACGGAATCATGTGGACTATTCTGTACGGTTTAACAATTTTGTTTGTGTTTTACTATATTATTATTTATATAAAATGGAGAAAAGATATATACAAAGATATTGAAAAAATTTCTGGTCCAAAAACTTATCCTCTTATTGGAACTTTGTACCATTTCTTCGGGGCGAATCGATACGACATATCTCGAATTTTATCAGAAATAACAGCGAAATACAAACCGTTTTATCGATTATGGAACGCTTTAATACCAGAAGTTCACGTAATGAAACCAGAACATCTCGAGGTAAGACAGATATGTAAGTCAATTCATATTATAAAATTGCTTAATTATTTTAGCAAATAATGAGCAGTTCTGTTCAAATTAGAAAGGGATCTCGTTATCGCTTCCTAAGAAAATGGCTAGGGGATGGTTTATTATTGAGTGATGGTGCTAAATGGCATCAACGTAGAAAACTTATTACGCCAACTTTCCATTTTAAAATCCTAGACAACTTTATGGATGTCTTTACAGAAAATAGTAAAATTCTCATAGATCATTTAGAAACAAAATGTGATTGTGAAGGATTTGATATTTACCCTTACATTGCGCACTGCGCTTTAGATATAATATGTGGTAAAGATTTATAATAATTCCGTATTGACAAATCTTGTAAATTGAATTTTAGAAACAGCAATGGGAGTTTCTATAAACGCTATGACTGACAGAAATAGTAATTATGCTGGAGCAATATACAGGTAACGTTCAAAGCATCGTATTAAATTTATTTATGGTGTATAAAATACGATGACGTTAAAGTTAAAAATATACACATCCGTTTACTGGGCTATCCATTAAAAGTTAAATAAACTTTTAACTTTGTTAGTGCTGTCGCTGTAGAAGTAATTCTAACTCGACATTCGAAAACTTCTTTAAGAGACCGTATAGTTGTAAAAATTCCGGTATACTCGGTTATTTATGGAGTGTTACCTGAAATACGAAAAATAAATGTCACTTTTATATTGTTAAATTTTAATGTATTATATTTTATGTTTTCATATAAAAATGTAAAATTTTAGAACGAGTCAATTGGTTATAAAAAGAATGTTCTCAGCTATACACCAAACCAAACTATATCCATTGATGAAAAGCGGAAGAGCTTTTAATCAAAACTTAAAAATTATGCATGGCTTCACTGATAAAGTAATCAAAGAAAGAAGAAAATTGCTAAATGAAAACCCAATACCCACTGAAAATACGAACGATGTCGATTTCACGATGAAAAAGAAACGCTTATCTTTCTTAGATCTTTTATTAGATAAATCTTATAATCTCTCCGATAGTGATATTCGTGAAGAAGTGGATACCTTTATGTTTGAAGGACATGACACCACTACAGGTGCTATTTGTTGGAGTTTATTTTTATTAGCAAATAACCCCGGCATACAGGAAAAAGTTTATGAAGAAGTTAAAAATGTACTACATGATAAAAAAGTACCAACTTCGATATCTGAATTAAATGAAATGAGATATTTGGAATGTTGTGTAAAAGAAGCTTTAAGATTATATCCTAGTGTACCGGCAATTGTAAGAAGTGTTGTAGAAGATATAAACATAGGTAACAAAAAAACTGAAAACATTCATAATATATATAAATATATGATATTTTAGATGGTTACCGTATTCCAAAAGGAACGGATTGTGTAATTCATATTTACGATGCCCATAAAAATCCTGAGATATTTCCAAATCCGGAAATATTTGACCCGGATAGATTCATAGCTGAAAATACCATAAAAAGACATCCCTATGCCTATATACCATTTAGCGCTGGTCCCAGAAACTGCATAGGACAGAAGTTTGCTATGTACGAAGAAAAAACATTGTTAGCTTCCATTATTCGGTCATTTAATGTTCTGCCTATTGATACAAAGGATACAGTTAAGTTGGTCTTTGAGTTAACTTTACGGTCAGTTAATGGAATAAAAATTCGATTGGAGAAGAGGGTCGATTAAACAGTACACACTATTTGAAATGTAATAAATGTCGTAACAGTAAAATTCACAGACAGATATTATCACATTATATTCATTTAGATAGGCATTAAGTACTCTAATAAACCACCACTTCATAGATACCGACTCCAAACATCACGACTCTCGATGTGAATAAAAGGCTTCGCTCATGAATAGTAAAAACTGAGGGTAGCAGAAGCGAGAGGCATTGTTGAAACATTTTATGTAAACAGGGAGTCACAAAACTATTTGCACACGTTGAGTAAATTAGATAGCACATCAGCTATTAAATTGATTGAACTCTATCAATTAATTTTCTGCCAAAGATGGATATCCGAAAATGTTTCAATTAACTACCTCAGTTAATTTCATACGGCAAAACCTCTTCATAAAAATTATTCCAAAAGTGCTCACAAATATCGGATTTTAATTTTTTTTTCATAAGCATATTTCATATCGACCGGTAGGATTAACAGATCACTTTTTTATGTATTTGTGGCATTACACCATACATTAAATCTTGATCCTCGTTTCATATTTAGCGATACTTCATGAGTACATTTTTTCAAAACATCAAAGCAACTCTGAACTTTGATATTTTTCACACGGCGTTTACAAACGATATACGAATTAATACTGACTGTGTCAAGCATTGAATATACAAGCTTGAATGGTCCCTTTCTAGTTTCCATGCAGCGGTTTCAATTTAGCTCATCGAAAGTCAATACTTTCAATACCTTCTAATTGTCACGGAGTACAACATATTTGTCTATTTGCAAATTCCTTGAACGAATTCATTTTATTAATATGCGAATTTCATGACCAAATGAGAATACAGACTATAAATAAAGATAATTAATCAATTTAGTAAAAGCAACCTTCAACTAAAGTAAAAAGAAAATCAATGCGTGCTTATCGAAAACAGTTTACGTTTCAATATTAATTAATCGTAAGCATATTAATGGAGGCGAGGACGTTTACTAAAGTCTTCCAAAAGTTTTTCCGCTGAGTAAGCATCGATATTAATTACCATTTCATCAATCAACCAAAACTAGAGCCGTAGCTTGTCATGGCGGAATTTTGCTAACGAACTTTTCCTAACTGCGCGAGATATTAATTATCTTTTTAGTGCAAACGGATTATTCTGTCGGCACAATTTTAGATTGCAAAAAAAATCAAATCAATTTTTTTGCAGTGCATTCATGTCTTTATTGCACGAGATATTACATCACAGCCGATTGCGTTTCAATAAAAGGAATCAAATCGTTGAATATGAAAAATTTGTATTGTTACATAAAAATTTGAGGAATACATTAAATAAATAAAATATTTAAATTATTGAACGAAAAATGGGCTCAATTATCAATATGCGTACAATGTAATTTATCTTTATCTCTAGATTAAAAAAAAAACATTCCGTTGTGTTTCTTTCGTGGATAATAAATCCTCATTTTTTTAACAACATCCATCTCTATGTGAATGTCCAAATGCATTAAATTCCTATCGGTCTCCACTTCCCTTTTCTTATAAGAGATCGATGAACGTCCATATCCCTCAAGTATTTCCTTACAAATCTTCTTCAGAGAATGCTGTGTGCTAGTCCATTTCCATATGTTGAGATATTTAGATAAAAATAAAATTTCCTTGAATGGGTTGTTTGTCCAAATATGCTTTGAGCGTTGCAATTTTATACATTGAGTGTAAACAGTAATCTAGTTACCACTAATTGAATTGAACTTTACTAATCTCGCAAACCGGAGTTAATTAAAGTACACCGGAAATAAAGGAGAGTTAGACGTATTGATGAAAGCGGGTCGCTTGTTGGCGTGTAGTTGCTACGGGAAAAGGGTCAAAACAACGAACTAAACTCAACAATATCATCCAGGATTTAATTACTCGTTAGTTTCAACGTTAATGTAATATTATCTTTATGAACGAAACAAAATTTCGTTTTTTTTTGTAAAATAATTGAATTCATAAAGGTAATTTTCCTCAATTTCTTGAGATGGAAATTAAATTTCTCGTAAATATTTTGAAGCGAAACTTCTGCGTAATTAAATTCCGACAATAGCCGTTGGATTGCTGTCAACCGGCGGTCGAATCCTTAGAATGCGACAATTAATTTAATTCTAAGCACCTACCCGAAAACCGGTCTCTGAAAATTGTCTTTGTCTTTTGGACGGCCTAGTTTGCAATTCTGACGCCAACCGCGCGATACAATAACTTTAATGCTTTCCACTTGGTATGCGAGGGCAACGTTTGCACAGTGGAAGTATGTTGACGAGATCAAAAGCCAAAAGGGATTCGAAATTCATGGGTACTTTCATTTATTTACTAACTAAAAAGTAATGCAAATTTTACCCGAAAATGGGTTTTAATTACATTGAATAAGTTAAAATAATGATTACGAATCAAATTACAAGTCGCCCATAAAATTTTACAGCCAATCCTTTCCAAGTTTATGAAAAGATACTATTTATAGAAAATAATTTAGTGATAATTTGCTCTTTGTTAGTAGTACTTAAGTAGTAATCCCACACTGTATAGCCATACTAACCACAGATTACAATAGTACAATATTTTAAATCCTCAGTAAGCATTAATGACGTCTATGCCAATCCGCTTTATATATGCGTCCTTTTAGTCGGATTGGACATGATTGTTGATTGCACTATTCAAATCTGCAAAAGGGCTCGTTAATTGACGTTGAGCAGCATGCATCGTTGAGCGTTGAGGTAGTAATGGTACAAAGAACGTCGACTACTAGAATTTTGAATAGAAATAAAAAATAATTAGGTCGAAAATTCAAATTAATTTACAAAATGAAGTATTAAAAATGTCTCAGATTACTTTGTAATTATCAATTAAAAACTGAATTAATCGGATTTTCAGTCAGCAGGATTAAAAGTAAAAGAGCTTTTTTAAAATATCTAATATTTAGTATTTTTGGTTACAATCTTCTTCAGAGCATTTTATTGCTAAAAGATTTTACAAAGAAAAACGTGCTACACTTACGTTTTTCCATATTTAAAAAGCAAAAAATATAACTTACTTGTAGCTCGAAGTGGCGTAAAACCTCAAAATTCGTCAACATTAAATTGATCGAAAACATGTTAAAAATATTAAAAAACAATTAAAATTGAGTAATGAACACAATTAAAAACTCGAAAAACAAAAATAAAACGTGGATCAAGTAGACGCAAGACTGACGACCGTTAAATGTAAAAAGGAAAAACTTGTTTTTTGGAGTGAGAACACAATCCAGAAATTCAAGATGTACAGTGTAAAGCAAAATTCAACAACCATATTAACATGAAATAAATAATTAATCACAGACTTGATTAACAACTGATTAAATTTTCTACAATCAACACCCTTTATCTGACTGAAAACTTTGTTAAACTTAACTTTTAATGAATCTTTGAAATTACAGAAAACATTATGAGGTAAACTAGCTCTAGCAAGATCAGACAATTCATTCGATGAGACTTCAATCTTTTTTAAATTATCAATAGTAATTTTAATTTCTAAATTATGAGTACTTGCTGCCCACCTGCTCCTAATGTGTTCTATCTTCCTAATGAAGTTGAACGTGTTGATATCCAGCATATTGACGCAATTCCTCGTGTTGTTACCTATATGAGTAGGAATGACTCCATTTCTTCTGCATTTGATCAAAAATGTGAGACGATTCTTCAATTTAGCCAGCTTGATGTTAAGACGTGTCCATTTCTTCAAGGTTTTCGTAACTAGAACACCATAATTTCTCGTAATTTCTTTATAAAGCCCCATGACTATAAGTATTACAGCAACAACCATCATCGACCACAACGTGAGCAGCAATTTTTAATTGCTGATGAATTAATCTCTTAAAATGAAAGAATAAAGACTTTTGTTTTCAACGTATTCACATAATAATATCAAGTTTAACTAGTCCTGAATCAATTAATACAGAGCGTTTCACTTATAAGCAGCTTCCATACATAGAAAGGTTAAGCGACCGATTAAACAAAACGTTGAAATGTATTGATAACATAAGGATCATTGACTGTTATGATTACAAATTAGGAAACCATTTTACTAAACTTAAGGACAAGACTGATAATAATTTTAGATCCAACTTGATTTATTGTGTTTTTCATGCAAGGGTGTGATGGAAAGTATGTTGGTCAAACCAATCAGTGGTTGAAGTGTAGAATCTCGAAACATGCAAGTGATTGTAAACTAAAAAAGTCTAGTAATGCTTTATCCCAACACGTTTTGGAGTGCGGACATGAATTTGATTTTCAAGATGTAAAAATGTTGGATTCAGAAAGTAATTATTATTATAACAGGCTGTTCTTAGAGATGGTACATATCAATTATACACAGAATGCTGTAAATTTTAAAACAGATACTCAAAACCTTAGCAACATTTATGCTTATTTGTTTACCTTAGATAAGTTTAACCACAATAATTCACCCAACTTACAAAGCTCTAGTCCTAATAACACCTCAACTTTCTCCAATGATATGTTTTTTTTCATTTGTTAATTAGATTTATATTAATTAATTAGAGTTAAATTAATTAAAGTTGAAGTTTAGAAGTTCAATTTAAATTAAACTTATTATTTGTTTCATGTTCATATGGTTGTTGAATTTTGCTTTACACTGTACATCTTGAATTTCTGGATTTGTGTTCCCACTCCAAAAAACAAGTTTTCCCTTTTTACATTTAACGGTCGTGCATCTTAAGTCTGCTTCCACGTTTTATTTTTAAGTTTTTCGAGTTTTTAATTGTGTTCATTACTCAATTTTAATTGTCATCAATATAATGTTGACGAATTTTGAGATTTTACACCTCTTCGAGTTACAAGTAAGTTATATTTTTTACTTTTTAAATATGGTTGCTTCACTTACGTTTTTCTTTGTAAAATCTTTTAGCAATAAAATGCTCTGAAGAAGATTGTAACCAACAATCGAAATATTAGCTATTTTAAAAAAGTTGTTTTACTTTTAATCCGAAAATCCGATTAATTCATTTTTTAATTGCTGGTCACGTTGTGGTCGATGACACTTCTTGCTGTTTGTAATTATCATCTTTTATTTCTCTTTTTTTTTCTTTAAACGTAATGATCCTAGCTAAAAGCAGAACGTTCAATACACTAGTAGACTTGTTAAGTGAAAGCCTTTTAACTCTTTGCTCTAAAAGAACTTGGCTGTTCTACTTAGTCGTCGAAGAACATTCAAGGTATTATTTAAAACGGCTCGTTCAAATCAGTTATCGTTATAGGATCGCTAGTCTTAAATAATCATAAATGTACAAAGTTTTCAGTAGAACGTGAAGATAAGATTCGCATAGATATATGGGCCTGTCGAGTGCAGTATATTAAACCCGACCTCGGAACACCGGCGCTTAGTTTAGAGGCGGGTGATATTTTCAACGAAGATAATCCCGGAAAACAGCCGTTTATTGTCCGCTTTGTTTTAAAATTGCACCCCTATTTGCAACGATATTACGCAGTTAAAATGATATACGCGATACGATATCGTACTTTATGTTTAATAATCTGCTAAGGTATATTCGCATATTAGTATTTTAAAATAAATCATTCCAATAAATACTTATATCTTTGATTTTAAAAGAGTTTGTATTATTTTTTGTTTAATACTATCTTTGATTGTTTCATCTTTGATCATTTACTTTTACTCACAGAAATATATTAGAAATAAAAATCTGCACAAATCGACGTGTCGGGTAAAACCCCCCAAGAAGGTGACAGCAACGTCGAAGTCCACTCCATCGTGAGGTGTAATCTTATCACAAACTTTATCACTTTTGAAGGAAGCCAACCTAAAGGTTGCTATAAAAACCTGGTCTTATGATGGTCACATTTTTTATTTCATTTTCTTTTTTGCTGTCCATCAACAATAAGCGCTGGTCATTAGAGACCACATCAATCTTATACTCATTCTCCCATTTCTTGAAAATCAGTAATTAATCTCTTATTGTACTAAATATTAAAATGAACACTATAAAGTCTTTGATAGGGTGTTCTTATGAATAACTAATATTTTTCATTTTGCGTTTTCTGTAACTCTCATATAATCGAATATCCGGTATCCGGCTTTTCGCAAAATCACTATCCGTTTCATCACTAGTTTATTGTATAGTATCTGGCATATATTGTGGGTTAAATTATTTTATTGATCATTGGGAGAAAACTTATTAGCCTATAACTAGTCAAGTTTTTCTTGGTTTGCCCTTTTTCAATATCAATCACATTTCTTTCAGGAGTTTAGTAAATATTTGATAGTCACTTCTTTCCATGGAATATCACGTGATGGCCAAGGCATTCCAACTTCTTATTTAATTATCTTACAAGAAAAGTTTTTCATCGAACTAACTTTAAATAAAAAAAATCAACGAATATCATAAAAACACTTGATTAAATAGCATAATCAAGTTGATGCATATCAATTAAACACAGAGGTTTGACCTAATTGATCTTTAAAATGTCCGGACAGCTTATTAACAATCGTAGTAAACCTTTGTTATTTTAAGGCAATTTCCTATGTCTTTTAAAATTTTAGATTTATGAGATTTTCCAACGAGTCAATCATACGATTCATCAGCTTTAACATAAAACAGTGGTAAATTCTTATCTTGCTGATTTTTTTTCCAAATTTTTTCCCATTATCGATTTTACATATTCGACGACCTGTGTGTTTTCGAAACGTGTTATAACTATAAATCTGTAATTCTAATAATTTCATGATTTATCCGTTGTACTAATTTTTAGCTAAAACGTTCCATTTTACTTTAATTTATGATCTGTTGCATAGCATAAACATAAATCCACAGTAATTTGTATGGATTTTTGGGAAATAAATTTTGTAATATTAAAACATACTTTTATTAATACTTTAAAATCCTGTGTGATCAATTTTAATCGCCAAATTAATTTTGAATTCATGATTGTTTTTCATATTTTTATTATCTAGATTATATAAAGTAAATGGAGAAAGTGTTTTATTATCAAACATCAACTATAATTATGTTGTGTTTAACAAGGATTTCAAACAAGAGAAACAAATGTTTGTAGTGTGGTGGTGGCCGAAGTTTATTAATTAAACCGGAATACGTAATGGATAATCTACGGAAGCACGTATCGAGGGAGGGCACTTCATTAAACTGGTGCAATACTTTGTTCTCTACGTGTTGTAATCAAGTGACCAACTCGATACAAGTTTCATTAAATCTATAGTAATAGGATTTTGAATAAATCTTGATGCAGTATTAAAAGCAGTATTTTTGGTAAATTCTTCTCTCCAACTCCCTTTGTTATTCTCCTATCAAAGTGAACAAGCATCTGTCAGATACAGATCACTAATTGATTTTTTAAAGCGTCGTTATTTTTATAACACCAACTGTGACAGCAATAAAAGGGCGTTCTTTCTTTTTCGTTAATTAATTCTCGCATCGTCGGCTGGCTTCGTTGGATGTGAAGTCGATGCGCTGCGACGTTTTTAGAGCAAAAGTAATTTGGTTGACAATTTGATTGAACACTGCCCTTTGCGTTCCCATGTCATTCTTGCAGTGTAATTATTTTCAAATGCGGACAATTTTTTGTAAGCAGTGGTAAAACAACGAACAAGGCAACAAAATACAATGGTATATAACGATGCGGATGTTGGAGTTTCTTTCTTTTGTAGTTTTGTGCAAATTATTGATAGTTTTAGTATATTTAATTGGGTTCTTCTCGTGTATATTAAAAGTTTTGAAAATGTCTATTTAAAAATGTTTTCTGATTTTGGTGTTTTATTAATTGTTTATTAACTGGGTTGACATAAACAGGTAACCGCAAACGATACTGGTTTGTCCCCTTCATTGGACGCAATGATCGGTATTTCATCGGATAGGAGTGGCCCAATCGGGTCTATTCCCTCGAGTTCAATTATTCACGTTCGACGAACCCCGGTAGGAACAAAGTGGCTTATCTAAACCGCACAATGTAGGACGAAGTTTAACGGCCCAGCGCAGAACGGGACCGCAACTGATCCAACATAGAGGTCCGCGGTGATCATTGCAAACGTTACGGCCAAAACCGTTGTAGGTAAACATGAGGACGTGAAGAGATAATTGTTTGATAATTCGCCGTCTTCTTGATTTACGACCTTTAGATCTCGACAAACTAATGACCCGACGATTTGATTAATTTTCTATGTGGGCCACATTCGACATTGTCAATGGAACTCCCGTATAAACGAATCGGTTATTAATGTCCAACTGGTATGCATGCGTCGACCATGTTTCAATGTTGTCATAGGGTTACAAGCTGTCGTCATCTGGCAAAATCATTATAAATGTTGGCAAATAGCAAGGTTTGGCAAACTTCAACGCTGAATTATGGACAGTATTCGTATAAAATTAAGTTCCTCTATATGTATAACATTATTTATATTTATAAGCTAATACATTATAACCAAAATGATGTAGTTTAGTTATGTTTTTCTTTTGAGACCTAATATTCGAGCTTTATACTTACATCATAAACTTTTAGATATTGTATCAAAAGACGTTGAGAGAAAAAGCAATATCGCAAAATTTATCGTGCAATTCCGAAGATATGAAAGTAATTACAGGTCGATAAGAAAAATAATAAAACTACTTCAGACAAAGGCACAAACATTTTCTATTTGCCATTGAATGCGATAAACTCCCGGATTTCGTCGGAGCTCAGTGCTGCGACCAAGTTCGCGAAAACTAAATCTATTTGCCACGGGATATATAGGGGTAACGACACATACTTTAAAGTTGAAATAGAAGTAGACGGTAGCAAGCGTAGAGTTGCATGTGAGGGTATTAGGATGGTTATTAACTTTTGAATTTACGTTGGACGGTACGTGTTCGAACAGTAATGAAAGTGAACATAGTAATACCTTAAGCCCTACGGAATGCCGTGCAATATTTGTACTCCAACTATAGAATTACTACCTACCAGGTTTTCGTATTTACAAAGCGCCCGTAGGAATTTATTTTGACGAAAACCGTGCGAAAGCTTTCCTCGGCACCGTGTCAGTTTTATCTGCTTTCTAGATGTATTATATTATAGACAAACAGTATCGAGTGTCGTCCTTGGAAATTCTCGTCTCTCTTTACCCAAACCCGTTTATAACCGCAATAAAACATCTTTATTATCGTACACTTACCCACATCAATTTGTTAGTAAAAATAACTAGATGGATCCTTTATATCCAAAACTTGGCTTTGATTTCGTATTGATGTGTCGTTGAAAATTCATAGCCTATTATTCTTGCGAAGAGAAGAGGCTCGTTATAGGAAGTATATGATAGCAATAAAACTGTAAATTATAAATGAGTTACGACAGCGTGCCGTGCACCGATGGCGTCGCGAGGCTCGCCGCATTCTCTGCACAATTCTTCGACAAAGAACCACTATAAATTCCATACTTCCTGCACTTTGTCTATCGTGTATCCTCTTCAATTCTGGCACTAGACGTAAATCCCAACGAAACTTTACTATATTGGGGTCTCCCGAGGGATGATAACTTACTTTGAATGTTACAGATTTGCGCAATATGTATAGGGAAAAGTAGATGTTATCTAATATACAGGTGTGTACTCTCAATATGACAGTATATCATATTGAGCATTAATGTGGGGATGATATTTAATAGACTATTGAACGTGGACTAAGTGTATCTAATCATAAAAAAAATTTTATCACAAGCTTTTTGAAATTATACCAAGTTCGAAGCTGTTTTATAAAGGTTGATATGCTGCAATTCGGAAAAATTGTACATAAATGGATTTTGTATAGGAACTGCTTCCAGATTTCTAGGTTTGTGGATA